GCCGAGCTCGCGCGCCCAACCGGTTTGCCACGCACCACCTCGGAAGACGAGGGGGCGCAGGGGCAGCAGGCAGACCTCGAGACGATTGGACAGAAACTGGCCCAGAACGCGTCCTGGGACCCAGACTCGGAAGATACGAACTCCCAGGAATTCGTATCCGGGACGCCCTCCCGCAAGCTCTCGGCGAGGGGCAACTCGGGGGCCCTGAAGATGTCCGAGCTCTAGAGCACAGCTGTGCAAGAAAATAAAATGGTCGGAGCTCTGGACACCTTGTGCACGAGAATAAACCGTTCGTGGCTGAGGGGGGAGTGGGTGGGGCTCCCACTGGGGCGCTGGGGACGCGAGGGGGCTCGGGGCAGCGGGCCACAGAGCGGTGGTCCCAGTGTGGCGCTGGGGGCGCGAGGGGGGGCGGGAGGAGATGGGTGAACGACGCGGAATGAAGCGTTCGTGGCTGAGGGGGCAATGGGCGGGGTTCTAACTGGGGCGCTGGGGACGCGGGGGGGCTCGGGGCAGAGGGCCGCGGAGCGGGGGCCCACTGTGGCATTGGGCGCGGGGGGAGGGGCGGGGGGAGGTGGGTGCGCGACGTGGAATAAAGCGTTCGCGGCGGAGGGGGCAATGGGCGGGGCTCCCACTGGGGCGCTGGGGACGCGGGAGGGCTCGGGGCAGAGGGCCGCGGAGCGGGGGTCCCACCGTGGCGTCGGGGGAGGGGCGGGGGGAGATGGGTGCGCGACGCTGAATAAAGCGTTCGCGGCGGAGGGGGCAATGGGCGGTGCTCCCACTGGGGCGCTGGGGACGCGGGGGGGTTCGGGGCAGAAGGCCGCGGAGCGGGGGTCCTACTGGGGGCGCGGGGGGGGGGCAGGGGGAGGTGGGTGTGCGACGCGGAATAAAGCGTTCGTGGCGGAGGGGGCAATGGGCGGGGCTTCCGCGGAGGTGGCAATGGGCGGGGCCCCCGCTGGGGGGCTGGGGACGCGGGGGGGCTCGGGGCAGAGGGCCGCGGAACGGGGGTCCCACCGTGGCGCTGGGGACGCGGGGGGAGGGGCGGGGGGAGGTGGGTGTGCGACGCGGTGGTCGGAGCTCTAGACACCCTGTGCAAGAGAATAATTTCATAGTGTTAAAACCCGTTTGCCAGGAGCACATAGGATCGCGCTCTCGCTTTGTATGTTTTGTTTTTGCAATTTGCCACCAAATCGCGGCTCCCGCCTGATAATTCCTGACAATGTATTGCAGAATCGCGCTCTCGCTTGGGACTTCCTCGCAACTTACCACCGAACCGCTTCGCTTGATATTTCCTTACAATGTATTCAGATGCCGGTCCCCGACACGCGGTTCAAGCAGGACTCACGCTTCAACGACCCGCCCGCTCGACCCGTCCGTCGGGGCCGGCCCGCCCGACCAGCCCGTTAATGACTGCAGTCGCCGCTCGCTGCCCTTCGCCCGCCTTCGATGCCTATCGCTGCCCGTACTGGTTCCGCAGTCGCCTTCGCTCGCTGCCCTTCGTGGCCCCGGTGCTGCCCTCAGTGGCCCCGTCGAGCATTCCTTGTCCCTGGGTGCGTGGCTGAATAATGAACTCGTGGTGAGAATTCTGCTTGATGCGTTGTTGTTGTTGTTGTTGTTGTCGTCGTTGTTGTCGTCGTCCCACCTGCGACCCACCCCGCGACCCACCCCGCGACCCACCCCGCGACCCACCCCGAAACCCACCCCGCGACCCACCCCGCGACAAACCCGGCGACCCACCCCGCGACCCACCCCGCGACCCACCCGCGACCCACCCGGCGACCCACCCCGCGACCCGCCCCGCGACCCATCCGCGACCCATCCGCGACCCACCCGCGACCCACCCCGCGACCCACCCCGCCACCCAGCCTCAAGGGAGGAAACATATCCGGACCCGACAATTGATTTTTACGACTCGGCCTTGGGAGATGACTAAACAGCCCTGCCCTATTGGATTCATTTTTGTGTGCGTTTCAAAAAAAAAACAATTTCGCTTGTCGGGGTGGTTATCATGGGATGGATGTTCTGCCCTCTACGCACGCGACCCGACAACGACCCACCCGCGACCCACTCCGCGACCCACCTGCGACCCACCCCGCGACCCACCCGCGACCCACCCGCAACCTACCCACAATGATTAAACGAAAAATCGGCGCCTGCGGCGGGCTTGTTGTATAACTTGTGAAACTTTGGCGCCTGCGGCGGGCTTCTCCAGAGTCTCGCAAAATGCCGACGTCACCACAGCCCCTTCACTCTTATCCGCATCTGCGGGGTGCTACGGTATGCCCCTCGTGGCCCCCGCTCGCACGCGCCCGTCGTGGCCCCATACGCATGCCCGTTGTAGCCCCGCTGTCGCCTTTCGTGGCCCCCTCGCTGCCCTTCGTGGCCTGTTTGCTGCCCTCAGTGGCCCCGCTGTCGCCTTTTGTGGCCCCGTCTACGAATGACCTTCGTGGCCCCCGCTCGCTCGCGCCCGTCGTGGCCCCATATGCATGCCCTTCGTGGCCCCGCTGCTGCCATCAGCGGCCCCGTCGCTGCCCTCTATTTTGCGATTTTCGTGGCCCACGCTGGCTTGTCTCACGATGTATTTGGGAATCGCGATATCGCTCGAGACTTCCTCGCGAGTCATGAAGGACCCACGCTTCAGCAACCCGCCTGCTCGACCTCGTCGTCTGGGCCCGCCTTCCCGACCTGCCCGCTATGGGTCTGCCCACCCGATTTGCCCGTCTGGTTCTACCTCTTGTTTTGTGCTCCTTGCCCCCCTCCTGCTAATTTCTCTCGTGCTCCATTCTTCTCCCTCCCCCTTCCACCCGTCGTCGCCTCCCTGGTTTTCGGGGTTGCACTAAATACACGTGGCATGTAAGGAAGATACACCCCCAAGGGGGTACGATCGAAGACGACGAGGGCGGGTGCCGAGGGTTTGGCACGTGAGTTGATCAGAGCGAACAATCTTAAAATGTTTGGTGTTGTTGTTCTTGTTGCGGTCCCGCCCGCGACCCGGCCCGCGACCCGGCCCGCGACCCGGCCCGCGACCCACCCGCGACCCACCCGCGGCCAGCCTGAGACCTGTATCTTCCCAACGCCTTCCTCCCGACACGACTACCGCCTTTCTACCCAAAAAAGGTACCGACACCGCGGCTCCCCGGGCCTCTCCCCGGGCACGCTCTGGCCGGGCCCCAGAAGCAAGCCCAGCCGTGGCGACGAGGGCCTCCCGGGATGCCCAAACGGCAAAAAGGGACGGGTGATCGGTTCTGGTCGCTGCGCCGACCTTGCAGACGTGCTGCAGCGGATTTTTGCATGGATTTCTGTCAATGCAAAACTCCGAAACGGCGAGCGAAAAACTAAGTTCAATTCAATGTTTGATGTTTGCAATCGTCATTCCTGGCCGTGGCGACGATGGCCTCCCAGGATGCTAAAAAGGCCAAACGAAGGACGGGTGATGCAGGGGGTACTGGCGGATATATTTTTCTGCTGGATCGGGTTCCTGGGGGCCGCATAGGGCGCTCCACCGAACGCCATAGCGACAGGGCCCGCATGGCGTACGATGATGCTGATGCTGATGCTGATGATGATGCTGTTGCTGCTACTGCTGCTGCGGCTGACCATCATCATCATCATCATCATCATCAGCATCACCATCACCATCATCATCACCATCACCATCACCATCACCATCACCATCACCATCACCATCACCATCACCATCATCATCATCATCATCATCATCATCATCATCATCATCATCATCATCACCATCACCATTAGTATCATCAACAACAACAACAACAGCAACAGCAACATCCTCATCATCATCATCATCATCATCATCATCATCATCATCATCATCATCATCATCATCATCAGCATCTGATTCGGCACACCTCTCAGAAGGTTCGTGGCGCCAGGGGGGAAGAGCGCAACGCACAACGTACACCAGGAGGGGCGAAAGCGCTGGCAAGGCAGTGGGCACGACAACGGCTGCGCCTGGGGGCTCGGACCACGCCAAACATCGCCCCGCGAGCCCGTGCCCGCTGTTCCGTTCCTAAAAAAGCCGCAGTCCCTGAACTCGCCCCCCCCTCCTCCTTTTCAAGCGTCTCGCGGCTGCACATGCTTGGGTCCTTCGCCGTGGGTGGAGACATGCAGTAGGAAGGCGTTTGAACAACAGCTTGGGCTTGCGCCAGCCCCCTGCAGAGGAGGGAAGTCGGACAACCGCTCCACCCTTGAAGCAGGAAGGCGCCCACAATAGATTTCGACTTGGACATCCGAAAGAATACCTACCTTCACCGACCAGCGTGCAACTGCTTAGCAGAACAAGCCCAGATTGAACACACACACACACACACACACACGGCCGGAGATCCGCGCGGATGTTGGGGGCAGCGCCGGGGGGTGCTCAGCGCCGACCCACAACACCCGAGCGGACCTCCAGAACTTGTTTTTTTGCCCTGCCATCATGGAGCAAGGAGTCTGGATGGACAGTGCCGTCAGGACTCTGAACGGCTGCGGCCCCGCCCTGTCAAGGAGCACGAACGGCGGCCGCACTCAAAGACACGTGCGCCAAATTCCCCCTGAGGGGAAGCACAGCGAGAGAGAACGAGGTAGAGAGAGAGAGAGAGAGAGAAACCAGGGAGAAAGTCTATAGCGCAGAGGGCCGTCACGCGGCTAGCGCATGTACTGAAACTGCATACGCGCGCGAGCGACACGCTGCGAACAGCACCTATGGAGGACAGTGTCATCCCAGACCCGAGGCCGTGGTCCCCCGTACTCTCTGGAAGTGTCCCTCCCAACAGATCTTTAATCATATCTGCGTGCGTTTCTAAAGACAAGCGTGTCTGTAGACACTACTATCGCTTGTCTGCGCAGGCCAAGGATCAGAATCTCACCAAGCACATGTCAGAGGCCCCCAGAAGCATGCAATACCGACGACTCGCATGGACATTATGAGAGGCAAGGCCCAAACTCCGACGCAAAGAATTGTTCAACACGGATTGGTTCCAAAACGACAAGAAGAAACGACGACGGTTCAAAACGACAAAAAAGCGACGTCGGATGTTTGGGTCCAACGTCCTCCTCATCGTCCTCATTGGCTCCTGGCCCTGCTTGCGCGCTGGCCTGCTCAGACAAGAGCAGCTGTACCAAGGCCGCACCTGGGCTCGCCGTACACACGGTGAGGCATCGAGCAGCAGCGCACAGAACATGCTGGAATGACCATGTACCCATGTACGCGAAAACTCTGCCTGCGCCTCGTGTGGATGTTGCTCCTTTTCTCCACGAGTCCCATCACGGGAGGGACAGAGGACAACTGCGCAGTCCGGCGTAGCACCCAGCACGGCCTTCAACTCATCCCATTCACTGCAAGCTGAGAGCAACAATGTATGATTGTTTCCCGAGGGTCTGCCTGTGCGACTGGGAAAGATTCACCGCTCATTGCATGACGACCTCGGCTATCTATCACACTTAAACAATTCTCCCGCGCTGCTACAGGTGTAACGATTTTGTTACTGCGCGCACGTTCAGCGAGGAGCTTGGAATTAAGCGTCCTAAGGCACCCGCTCGCCCTCGTTGCAGAACGGGGCGGCGTCTAAGAAGAGCCCGGGGCCCCGCTGAAAGGAGAGAGAGGGTGAGTTCACCCCGAGCGCAGTGTGAGCCCTTCGCTGTGAAAGAACAACGTGGGAGGATGCCTCCACAAAGCACCGATCACACAACGTCCAAAAAAGGCATGGCTGGGAAAGGACCCCGAAGCCTGCTTCACCAGAGGAGGATGCCACGCTACAGGGCTTACGCAGGAGGAACGAGGCCCACGCGCCCGCAGAGGTGGTCAAGATTTCAGGAACGCTGGCGCAGTTCGTGCCACATGCGCACCATGAGCCGACATCATATGCAGAGTCTTCCTCCAGCCCGCGGGCCTCACGGGACGAAGCCGTGGTGCCTGCAACCGTGCACGACTCGCAGCGACTCGCCCGCGCTTGTGGCAAGGCGAGCTCAGTTCAAACCGTGCAGCAAATCTGAAACAGCAAGCTTGAGAAGAACTTCCACAATGAGAAAGCCTATAGGAGGCAACTGCTGGGTGGTCTCCATAAGAACGGTGAAAAGTACTTAAGCCCAATAAAGGGGGCCACTGAGCTGGATCTAAGCAGATTCAGCCCGGCAGCACGCCAGATGAAGCAGATTCTGGCCACGGATATACCAGCGCAGATGCTGAATCTCACCTCCCAGGAGTTGCTGCATCCTAGAAGCCTGGCGCGCTCACGCAAGCAGGAAGGGCAGGCAAACGACGGTGCTGATTCCGCAGAACGCGGCAACCAGCGGGAACACCTTCTTGAGGACCACCCCCTCCGGCACGGTGAGGCCAATTACGGTGCTGGCAGAAATAATGTTGGCCAGGCAAACGGCGTTGCCGATCGCTGCGCCGACCCCCTGTAGAGCAAGCAGAGCGTACATGTCGACGTTCAAATTTTCGGCAGCAACCTGCTGGACCTTCCCAAAGGTCAGATTGGATATGGTCGTCGAGCCAGAGAAGAAGGCGCCGAGAGAGCCCAGGGCTGCCGAAAGTGCCAGGAAGCCATAGCTGAGCAGGTCGGACATGCGCACTCCGATGATGAAGGCTGGAGAGTCGGCGTACAGATCGTTGCCTCGCAGCAGCTCGACCAAGATGAGCGCCCCCGCCAGCGCCACAAGTGGCTTCTGCATGCGGCTCACTACGCCGCGCAGGATGCTCGCTGGGCCCGTCTTCAGCTCCCTCCTGTAGAGCGCCAGCGTAACGCTCCCCACGACGAAGAAAGGGAGGATGCTCGGCACGTACAGGGCGGCGTAGGTCCAAGTCTTCGTTGTAGGCGCACGCATGATGTCCTTCAGGCTGAAGACTAGCGAGGCAGAGAGCGAGAAGTCGCCGATCTGCTTCAGGTCCAACGTGAAGCTGGGTTCCTTGTCTGTCAGCAGCTCCTTCAGTCCAATGGGCTCGATGCGCGTCAGCACCAGCAGCAGCACAGTCAATGTGATCGGAGACGTGCGCAGCAACGCGGCAAAGACCCCGGTCTCGGATGGCACCGTGGTCTTGCCATTGTCGTCAGAGCCCTTGCTGCCAGACGGGGCAGTGCCTACGGAGATGACGGCGGAGCGCTGCGCCACGGGACGGAGCGAGGCCTCGGACACCGCGCGTGGGATGATGTTCATGGCGTTGCCCCGATTGGCGAGGGCCTCGATCATGTCAGCGTCCAGGTAGATGTCCCCCGCGTTCGTAGCCTGCTGCTCCCGAGCGGCCGCTGGATGCTCGTCAGACACCTGGTCAGCAGAAGGCGGGCGCTCCACGTCGCTGGCCGCGGCATCCGACTGCGCATCGGCAGAGCTCTGCGGCGTCTTGCCGCTGACGGGCCTCAGGCCGACACCGTACACGATGAGCAGCGCAGTGGAGGCCAGGCCGACGAGTCCGCCGACGATAGTGGGGAACTCCGCGGAGAAGAAGGAGATGCCGAGCATCGGGAGCATGATGCTGAGGATGCTGAGGTAGATGAACAACATGTTCTTCTTCACGTCCTGCCAGGGCACCAAAACGCGCACAATCAAGGGCACGAGCAGCAGCGCGTTGACTACCAGCATCACGGTCGCCACGCGCCCCACCTTAACCTGCCCCTCGTTATCCAATCCAGTGGCCTCCCCAATGCCAAACCACATCGGGGTTCCCACAGCGCCGAAGGTGGCCGAGAAGCCGTTGAAGAGGAGCAGACACACAACCGCTTCCAGCTTACCGTGGCCCATCGAGTAAAGAATGGGCGCCGCCAGAGCCGCAGGAGTGCCGAAGCCAGAGGCACCCTCCACCAGGAAGTGGAAGCCCCAGCCGATCAGCATCACCTCCGCCACCGGGTGGCCCTTGGTGATGGCCTTCATGGTCGCGATCATCCATGCCAAGCAGCCCGATGACTCCATGCAGTCGAAGAGAAAGATAGCGCCGGCCACGATGCTGACCGGCGTCATCGCGCCAAGCACACCCGAGATCACGTTCGCTGTGGTGTCGTGTGGGTGGGAGCCGAGATAAATCAGCTTGATGAAGAACATGAGCACCGCCGATAGCGGCAGGCTGACGGTGGACTGCATCGGGCTGCGCTTCACAACCGCCCACACCAGAAAGACGATGGGAAGCAGCAGCACAAGAATGTCGCCATAGCCCCACGGGCCGCCCCTCAGGGAGTCTGCCATGGTTTCAGGAGGGTGGAGGTCTTCAGAATACCCCGAGTATCCTGTGGAGGAGCGTGCCTCAAACTGAGGGCCCAACAAACAGCGGCCTGAGCCAAAACGGCTACAGAGGATCTCTGGACCTTGATGTCTATGCAATTCGCTGCTTTCCGACTTTTCAGGCAGTCCCAAGGGAGGGGGTCACCACCAAGGGGGCCGCCAGCTCGTTCTCAGGATCGAGGTTGAAGGATCAAGGGCCGATGAGTCGATGAGATGTCGGACGGTATTGGGGGGAATCCTGAAGGGTGTTCTGGGCCGCTCTCCTCGAGAAGAAAGTTTGGCATCAGCATTAGCTTTGGGAAAACCGCGCGGATTCCTTGGATCGGCGCTGGGCCCCCTTGGCGGCGCTTCTGGCACCGTCCCTGGCGAGCTCCGCGCGCCTAGGAGGGGGCCAAGCGCGCCAGGGAGGGGAGTTTATGTCGATGCTGATTTTTGTTTCGACTAGTGGTGACCCCCCCGGAGAGGGCAGAAGAACCACCTCAAAATCAGAACCCCGACAAGCGAAGCCATTTAGCAAACGCACCTCACGAAAGAATACAGGGCAGGGCTGTCTAGTAAACGCCCAGGACTGTGCAGCAAACGCCAAGTATGGAGGTCAGGGCGTGTTTTCCTCCTCTCGGGGATGGACCGCAACCCCCTTTATCAAAACACCCTTCTAGTCAAGAACGGCCTCGGGTGAGACCCCGTGGGCGAGAGCCCGCGATAATTGCGGCCGCATCACTCACTTGAGGAACCGACTAAAGGCAGCTCGCCTCGTTGACTTGTCAGGGTGGGTGCTCTATCAAACTCCTACCCATTGACCCCCGAGTTTGCTCGATTTATTAAAGAACACGAGAACAATAACACTCTTTCTTGAACGTGCGCGCAGATTTCTTGGATCGGCGCTGCACACCTCTCCATGGCGCGCGGGGCGCGCCAAGGCCTGGCGGCGGAGGCACCGCCAGGTGGGAGCGCTAACGCCGATCTGAGAAATCTTCGCGGACCTCAGAGTAAGTAGGCTTGTGCCCTTTTGTTGTTTTGCGCTGTCTTGACAGATGTGAGCGGTCTCGGTTTGTTCAATACGCGGTCCCCGGAAGTCCGGACCATTTCTACAGGACGGGCTTTTCATCCTGTCATTTGGTTGCCGGTCCCTGGGTCCGGTAAGGGCCCCCGGAGGCCCAAAACAACAAAAAAACCTCCCATCACGATTGATTCACGATGCGACCGTGTAGTCGGAGGATCAGGCCGCATCGCCGATCAATCACCGATGCATTTGCGATCCATCGGCAACGTCGGCGATGCATCGGCGACGTCGGCGTAGACAAACATCGGGAGCCATATCGAGTCGCATCGCCGATGCATCGGCGATACGGCGCGATCATCCGACCCCATCTGTTCCGACCCCATCTGGGAGGCTTATTGCCAGGGACGTTTGCTTAATGCGTCGCCATCACGGCCCTGGCAACACGTTATGCCTTACGAGAGAATAGCGTGTCGATCTGCTCCTCGGGGCGGGATGCAGGGAATGGCTCGAGACGTTGACGCTTGGGGACCCGTGAGTGGGTAACGTACCGCGCCGAAGCGTGGTGTGCCAGGACCGGCGGAGCGACACGCTCAGCCAAAGTCCCCGACCGCTTTCCGACCCCATCTGGTCATGGATCTACTGACCCGGGTCAGGACATTGCAAAATCCTGCAGATCCTGCAGAATCCTGTACGCCAGCCTGGGTCAATGCACCCCTAGCTTCGCAGGGTCCTGCAAGATCTGGCGTTCTGGCTGACCCCTGTTTGCATTGACCCCCGTCTCAACCCAAACATGCAACGTCCTGCCCAGGAAGTTCCGACCCTGTCCCCAGGCCGGCTTTCTGAGTCGCCTGTTTGACCGTCCCGAGGCTCGGGACATTGCAAAACTCCGAAACGGCAAGCGAAAAACTAAGTTCAATTCAATGTTTGATGTTTGCAGTCGTCATTCCTGGCCGTGGCGACGAGGGCCTCCCAGGATGCCAAAAAGGCCAAACGAGGGACGGGTGATGCAGGGGGCACTGGCGGATATATTTTTCTGCTGGATCGGGTTCCTGGAGGCCGCATAGGGCGCTCCACCGAACGCCCTAGCGACAGGGCCCGCATGGCGTACGATGATGCTGATGCTGATGCTGATGCTGATGATGATGCTGTTGCTGCTACTGCTGCTGCGGCTGACCATCATCATCATCATCATCATCATCATCATCATCATCATCATCATCATCATCATCATCATCATCATCGTCATCGTCATCGTCATCATCATCATCATCATCATCACAATCATCATCATCACCATCACCATCACCATCACCATCACCATCACCACCATCATCATCACCATCACCATTAGCAGCATCAACAGCAACAGCAACAGCAACAGCAACAGCAACAGCAACAGCAACAGCAACATCATCATCATCATCATCATCATCATCATCATCATCATCATCATCATCATCATCATCAGCATCATCATCATCATCATCGTCATAATCATCAGAACCTGATTCGGCACACCTCTCAGAAGGTTCGTGGCGCCAGGGGGAAGAACGCAACGCACAACGTAAATCAGGAGGGGCGAAAGCGCTGGCAAGGCAATGGGCACGACAACGGCTGCGCCTGGGGGCTCGGACCACGCCAAACATCGCCACGCGAGCCCGTGCCCACTGTTCCGTTCCTAGAAAAGCCGCAGTCCCTGAACTCGCCCCCCCCCCTTCTCCTTTTCAAGCGCCTCGCGATGCTCGCGGCTGCATATGGTTGGGTCCTTCGCCGTGGGTGGAAACATGAAGTAGGAAGGCGTTTGAACAACAGATTTGGCTTGCGCCAACCCCCTGCAGAGGAGGGAAGACGGACAACCGCTCCACTCTTGAAGCAGGAAGGCGCCTACAATAGATTTCGACTTGGACATCCGAAAAAATACCTACTTTCACCGACCAGCGTGCAACTGCTTAGCAGACCACAACACCCGAGCGGACCTCCAGAACTTGATTTTTTGCCCTGCCATCATGGAGCAAGAGTCTGGATGGACAGTGCCGTCAGAACTCTGAACAGCTGCGGCCCCGCCCTGTCAAGGAGCACGAACGGCGGCCGCACTCAAAGACACGTGCGCCAAATTCCCCCTGAGGGAAAGCACAGCGAGAGAGAAAGAGGTAGAGAGAGAGAGAGAGACCAGGGAGAAAGTCTATAGCGCAGAGGGCCGTCACGCGGCTAGCGCATGTACTGAAACTGCATACACGCGCGAGCGACACGCTGCGAACAGCACCTATGGAGCACAGTGTCATCCCAGACCCGAGGCCGTGGTCCCCCGTACTCTCCGGAAGTGTCCCTCCCAACAGATCTTTAATCATATCTGCGTGCGTTTCTAAAGACAAGCGTGTCTGTAGACACTACTATCGCTTGTCTGCGCAGGCCAAGGATCAGAATCTCACCAAGCACATGTCAGAGGCCCCCAGAAGCATGCAATACCGACGACTCGCATGGACATTATGAGAGGCAAGGCCCAAACTCCGACGCAAAGAATTGTTCAACACGGATTGGTTCCAAAACGACAAGAAGAAACGACGACGGTTCAAAACGACAAAAAAGCGACGTCGGATGTTTGGGCCCAACGTCCTCCTCATCGTCCTCATTGGCTCCTGGCCCTGCTTGCGCGCTGGCCTGCTCAGACAAGAGCAGCTGTACCAAGGCCGCACCTGGGCTCGCCGTACACACGGTGAGGCATCGAGCAGCAACGCACAGAACATGCTGGAATGACCATGTACCCATGTACGCGAAAACTCTGCCTGCGCCTCGTGTGGATGTTGCTCCTTTTCTCCACGAGTCCCATCACGGGAGGGACAGAGGACAACTGCGCAGTCCGGCGTAGCACCCAGCACGGCCTTCAACTCATCCCATTCACTGCAAGCTGAGAGCAACAATGTATGATTGTTTCCCGAGGGTCTGCCTGTGCGACTGGGAAAGATTCACCGCTCATTGCATGACGACCTCGGCTATCTATCACACTTAAACAATTCTCCCGCGCTGCTACAGGTGTAACGATTTTGTTACTGCGCGCACGTTCAGCGAGGAGCTTGGAATTAAGCGTCCTAAGGCACCCGCTCGCCCTCGTTGCAGAACGGGGCGGCGTCTAAGAAGAGCCCGGGGCCCCGCTGAAAGGAGAGAGAGGGTGAGTTCACCCCGAGCGCAGTGTGAGCCCTTCGCTGTGAAAGAACAACGTGGGAGGATGCCTCCACAAAGCACCGATCACACAACGTCCAAAAAAGGCATGGCTGGGAAAGGACCCCGAAGCCTGCTTCACCAGAGGAGGATGCCACGCTACAGGGCTTACGCAGGAGGAACGAGGCCCACGCGCCCGCAGAGGTGGTCAAGATTTCAGGAACGCTGGCGCAGTTCGTGCCACATGCGCACCATGAGCCGACAGCATATGCAGAATTTTCCTCCAGCCCGCGGGCCTCACGGGACGAAGCCGTGGTGCCTGCAACCGTGCACGACTCGCAGCGACTCGCCCGCGCTTGTGGCAAGGCGAGCTCAGTTCAAACCGTGCAGCAGATCTGAAGCAGCAAGCTTGAGAAGAACTTCCACAATGAGAAAGCCTATAGGAGGCAACTGCTGGGTGGTCTCCATAAGAACGGTGAAAAGTACTTAAGCCCAATAAAGGGGGCCACTGAACTGGATCTAAGCAGATTCAGCCCGGCAGCACGCCAGATGAAGCAGATTCTGGTCACGGATATACCAGCGCAGATTCTGAATCTCACCTCCCAGGAGTTGCTGCATCCTAGAAGCCTGGCGCGCTCACGCAAGCAGGAAGGGCAGGCAAACGACGGTGCTAATTCCGCAGAACGCGGCAACCAGCGGGAACACCTTCTTGAGGACCACCCCCTCCGGCACGGTGAGGCCAATTACGGTGCTGGCAGAAATAATGTTGGCCAGGCAAACGGCGTTTCCGATCGCTGCGCCGACCCCCTGTAGAGCAAGCAGAGCGTACATGTCGACGTTCAAATTTTCGGCAGCAACCTGCTGGACCTTCCCAAAGGTCAGATTGGATATGGTCGTCGAGCCAGAGAAGAAGGCGCCGAGAGAGCCCAGGGCTGCCGAAAGTGCCAGGAAGCCATAGCTGAGCAGGTCGGACATGCGCACTCCGATGATGAAGGCTGGAGAGTCGGCGTACAGATCGTTGCCTCGCAGCAGCTCGACCAAGATGAGCGCCCCCGCCAGCGCCACAAGTGGCTTCTGCATGCGGCTCACTACGCCGCGCAGGATGCTCGCTGGGCCCGTCTTCAGCTCCCTCCTGTAGAGCGCCAGCGTAACGCTCCCCACGACGAAGAAAGGGAGGATGCTCGGCACGTACAGGGCGGCGTAGGTCCAAGTCTTCGTTGTAGGCGCACGCATGATGTCCTTCAGGCTGAAGACTAGCGAGGCAGAGAGCGAGAAGTCGCCGATCTGCTTCAGGTCCAACGTGAAGCTGGGTTCCTTGTCTGTCAGCAGCTCCTTCAGTCCAATGGGCTCGATGCGCGTCAGCACCAGCAGCAGCACAGTCAATGTGATCGGAGACGTGCGCAGCAACGCGGCAACGACCCCGGTTTCGGATGGCCTCGTGGTCTTGCCATTGTCGTCAGAGTCCTTGCTGCCAGACGGGGCAGTGCCTACGGAGATGACAGCGGAGCGCTGCGCCACGGGACGGAGCGAGGCCTCGGACACCGCGCGTGGGATGATGTTCATGGCGTTGCCCCGATTGGCGAGGGCCTCGATCATGTCAGCGTCCAGGTAGATGTCCCCCGCGTTCGTAGCTTGCTGCTCCCGAGCGGCCGCTGGATGCTCGTCAGACACCTGGTCAGCAGAAGGCGGGCGCTCCACGTCGCCGGCCGCGGCATCCGACTGCGCATCGGCAGAGCTCTGCGGCGTCTTGCCGCTGACGGGCCTCAGGCCGACACCGTACACGATGAGCAGCGCAGTGGAGGCCAGGCCGACGAGTCCGCCGACGATAGTGGGGAACTCCGCGGAGAAGAAGGAGATGCCGAGCATCGGGAGCATGATGCTGAGGATGCTGAGGTAGATGAACAACATGTTCTTCTTCACGTCCTGCCAGGGCACCAAGACGCGCACAATCAAGGGCACTAGCAGCAGCGCGTTGACTACCAGCATCACGGTCGCCACGCGCCCCACCTTAACCTGCCCCTCGTTGTCCAATCCAGTGGCCTCCCCAATGCCAAACCACATCGGGGTTCCCACAGCGCCGAAGGTGGCCGAGAAGCCGTTGAAGAGGAGCAGACACACAACCGCTTCCAGCTTACCGTGGCCCATCGAGTAAAGAATGGGCGCCGCCAGAGCCGCAGGAGTGCCGAAGCCAGAGGCACCCTCGACCAGGAAGTGGAAGCCCCAGCCGATCAGCATCACCTCCGCCACTGGGTGGCCCTTGGTGATGGCCTTCATGGTTGCGATCATCCATGCCAAGCAGCCCGATGACTCCATGCAGTCGAAGAGGTAGATAGCGCCGGCCACGATGCTGACCGGCGTCATCGCGCCAAGCACACCCGAGATCACGTTCGCTGTGGTGTCGTGTGGGTGGGAGCCGAGATAGATCAGCTTGATGAAGAACATGAGCACCGCCGATAGCGGCAGGCTGACGGTGGACTGCATCGGGCTGCGCTTCACAACCGCCCACACCAGAAAGACGATGGGAAGCAGCAGCACAAGAATGTCGCCATAGCCCCACGGGCCGCCCCTCAGGGAGTCTGCCATGGTTTCAGGAGGGTGGAGGTCTTCAGAATACCCCGAGTATCCTGTGGAGGAGCGTGCCTCAAACTGAGGGCCCAACAAACAGCGGCCTGAGCCAAAACGGCTACAGAGGATCTCTGGACCTTGATGTCTATGCAATTCGCTGCTTTCCGACTCCAGGCAGTCCCAAGGGAGGGGGGCACCACCAAGGGGGCCGCCAGCTCGTTCTCAGGATCGAGGTTGAAGGATCAAGGGCCGATGAGTCGATGAGATGTCGGACGGTATTGGGGGGAATCCTGAAGGGTGTTCTGGGCCGCTCTCCTCGAGAAGAAAGTTTGGCATCAGCATTAGCTTTGGGAAAACCGCGCGGATTCCTTGGATCGGCGCTGGGCCCCCTTGGCGGCGCTTCTGGCACCGTCCCTGGCGAGCTCCGCGCGCCTAGGAGGGGGCCAAGCGCGCCAGGGAGGGGAGTTTATGTCGATGCTGATTTTTGTTTCGACTAGTGGTGACTCCCCCGGAGAGGGCAGAAGAACCACCTCAAAATCAGAACCCCGACAAGCGAAGCCATTTAGCAAACGCACCTCACGAAAGAATACAGGGCAGGGCTGTCTAGTAAACGCCCAGGACTGTGCAGCAAACGCCAAGTATGGAGGTCACGGCGTTTTTTCCTCCTCTCGGGGATGGACCGCAACCCCCTTTATCAAAACACCCTTCTAGTCAAGAACGGGGTCGGGTGAGACCCCGTGGGCGAGAGCCCGCGATAATTGCGGCCGCATCACTCACTTGAGGAATCGACTAAGGGCACTTCGCCTCGTTGACTTGTCAGGGTGGGTGCTCTATCAAACTCCAACCCATTGACCCCCGAGTTTGCTCGCTTTCTTAAAGCACACGAGAACAACAATATACTTTCTTGAACGTGCGCGCAGGTTTCTTGGATCGGCGCTGCACACCTCTCCATGGCGCGCTGGGCGCGCCAAGGCCTGGCGGCGGAGGCACCGCCAGGTGGGAGCGCTAACGCCGATCTGAGAAATCTTCGCGGACTTCCGAGTAAGTAGGCTTGTGCCCTGTTGTTGTTTTGCGCTGTCTTGACAGATGTGAGCGGTCTCGATTTGTTCTATACGCGGTCCCCGGAAGTCCGGACAATTTCTACAGGACCGGCTTTTCATCCTGTCATTTGGTTGCCGGTCCCTGGGTCCGGTAAGGGCCCCCGGAGGCCCAAAACAACAAAAAACCTCCCATCACGATTGATTCACGATGCGACCGTGTAGTCGGAGGATCAGGCCGCATCGCCGATCAATCACCGATGCATTTGCGATCCATCGGCAACGTCGGCGATGCATCGGCGACGTCGGCGTAGACAAACATCGGGAGCCATATAGAGTCGCATCGCCGATGCATCGGCGATACGGCGCGATCTTCCGACCCCATCTGCTCCGACCCCATCTGGGAGGCTTATTGTCAGGGACTTTTGCTTAATGCGTCGCCATGGCGGCCCCGGCAACACGTTATGCCTTACGAGAGGATAGCGTGTCGCTCTGCTCCTCGGGGCGGGATGCAGGGAAAGGCTCGGGACGTTGACGCTTGGGGACCCGTAAGTGGGTAACGTACCGCGCCGAAGCGTGGTGTGCCAGGACCGGCGGAGCGACACGCTCAGCCAAAGTCGCCGACCGCTTTCCGACCCCATCGATCTACTGACCCGGGTCAGGATATTGCAAAATCCTGCAGATCCTGCAGAATCCTGTACGCCAGCCTGGGTCAATGCACCCCTAGCTTCGCAGGGTCCTGCAAGATCTGGCGTTCTGGCTGACCCCTGTTTGCATTGACCCCCGTCTCAACCCAAACATGCAACGTCCTGACTTGTTTCAAGACGCCGTCCCCGGAAGTTCCGACCCTGTCCCCAGGCCGGCTTTTCATACTGAGTCGCTTGTTTGACCGTCCCGAGGCTCGGAGAAGATTCCTGGAAGGCCGAAAATTGCCAAACACCTTCCGTCACGTGTTCTTTTTCGAGTACGGGATCCACTACATAATTGATTTCCCCCAACTTGATTTTTTTGCCGAATCTACGAAAAATACGCCGGATGGATGCAGATATTCAACTATCCGACGTCTTGTGACATATTCGAAGAGCAAACTACTTTTGAGGTAAATCAATTCTGTAGTCGATACCCCATTCGATTTTTAGGACGCGAGCATGTCTGGGAAGGCTCTTCACCTGGCAGGCCCAGGTTTCTCCTGCCGAAGGGGAATGCCCGGGTGGAACACGTGGGCGTCAATCGCCACTGGCGGGGACCGTGTGGGAGGACGAGGACAGGGCTGAGGAGGAGGAAGCGGAGAAGCAGGAGGAGCCAGATGAAGTGGAGGAGGATGGTGGAGAACGAGGACGAAGAGGAGAATGTAGGAGGAGTATGGTGTAGAACGAGGGTGAAGCGGAGGAAGATGAAGTGGAGCAGGATGGTGGAGGTTTCTTCTGCCCCCCAGGGAGTGCCCGGGTGGAACACGTAGGCGTCTATCGCCACTGGTCCCGCGCCCCTGGCGCCCGCGCAGGCGGGCGCGAGGGCACGGCACGCCGGCGGCGCCTGGAAGAGGCGCGGGTCCACCTCGCAGAGGGCCACGAGCCTCATACACGCGACACACGGCAGGATGAGCATCCTCAGCAACAGCATCAGCATCAGCATCAGCAGCAGCATCAGCATCAGCATCGTCACCATCATCATCATCACATCATCATCATCATCATCATCATCATCATCATCATCACCATCATCATCATCATCATCATCATCATCATCATCATCATCATCATCATCATCATCATTATCATCATCATCATCATCATCATCATCATCAGCATCATCATCATCATCATCGTAATCGTCATCGTCATCGTCATCAGCATCATCATCATCATCATCATCATCATCATCATCATAAGCATAAGCATGAGTATAATCATAACCAATATGAGCAACAAGAGCATGGCCATCTCCCATCATGATCACCATCATCATCATCATCATCATCATCATCATCATCATCATCATCATCATCATCGCCATAATCATCATCATCAACATCATCATCATCAGCATCATCATCATCATCACCATCATCATCATCATCATCATCATCATCATCATCAACAACATGATCACGGATCTCCCGACCCTGGAGACGTGCCACACGCGACGGGACCACGAATCCCGACTAATTGGGCAGTGACAAGGACTAGGCCAGACTAAGCCCAAGATTGAGCCGGATTGTACTTGATTCAGCTGGATTCAGCAGGATGAAGCCAGCTTCAGCGAGAGCAAGCCAGATTAGACCAGTCTCCGACCATGGATTTGCCAGCGCCGATTCTGAAATAAACCTCCCAAGAAAATGCATCCTAATCGTCGAATCGGGCTGCATCGGCACGGAGTTGGACTCGAACGGGATCGGCGGCGCCAGCATGCACAACAGCACCGTGCAAGCATCGGGCCGCATCGGGTCGTCGGAGCATCGGAAACAAAGCGGATCGGGCCTGCAAAAAACAGCATCGAATCGGATACATCGGATTGAAATCTCTCTTGTACGGTCAGGAACTTTTGCTCAGCGTGTCGCGGCGGCGGCCCTAGCCACACACGATACCCTGCGAGCTGGAAGCAGGCCGCTGCGCTCCGCGGGGCGGGAGGCCAGGAAGAGCTCGGGGCGGTGACGCTGTTGAATTGTGTCGCGCCGCAGCGTGGCGGGCCAGAACCAGGCGGAGCGACACCCTGAGCAAAAGCCCCCGACCGCACACGTATCCACCGCCCCTGGCCAGGCCCATCCTGGGTTCATGCGGGCTGTGCATGCGCCCTCCTCCCTCCCCTGGCCAGGGGCTGGTCAGGCGTATACATGCCGATCCTGGGGGTCCTCTCCCAGTGGTCCCCCCCTGACCCCATGGCGTGGGTCCTCTCTTCCCTGTCACCATATCGTTCGTTCGCGCTTTGTGCTAGTCCTCGTCGTCGTCCTCCTCCTCCGAAGCCCATCCCCTCGCACTCTGGTGTGCATGCTGCGCCCCACTTGCGAAAACTGGTACGCCCTCTAGCAGGGGCCTCGCCAGGGGGCGGTAGATCAAGAGCCTGCTTTTACGATTCGCGAATTACCCCCGTGACCAGCCCCCCGCCTGGGATGCCATGATTCACACAGGCGCGGTCTGGGAATGAGCCGTTCTCATAAGCACGTCCGGACAGCGCCGGCGCGGATCGTGACATGACTGGCCGTTCCTCCCCCCTTTCCCCCCCCCCTTTGTCACGTCCGCTACCGCCAGGGGGTAGACAAAGCTCGTCCCCATTTGTGCAGGTCCCGTCGCCCGACCTCGGGCCCCACGGCGCTCAGGCTGCCGAAGGTCATCGTGTACTTGTAGGCGCCCCCGTAGTAGCTGGTGGCCCGCCAGGCTGCGCCCGCGGCGCGGCCGTATAAAAACGTAATTTTTCGAGTTTTTCGTTTCTCGCTCCAGAAGCTTTCTTCATGTGTTCCGACGATCGCCGTGCAAGAAAAGAGCTCTACGAGGTTCCCGGCGGTAACCAGGTTGACGGTTTACCGCCGGTTCCCATTAGACCACCCAGCCCGGGCGGACAAAGTGGCAGGGCGCAAGGGCGAGTGCTACCGTAGGGCTTGTGCGGAGACGACCGGCTGGTGGCGCAGCGCTGCGAAAGGAGGAGGATTATGCAGACGGCATCTACGGTCGGGAAGCCTCGCTTAATGTGTGTCGCGGCGGCGGCCCAGGCGACTCGCCATGCCGTGCAAGCGGATGGCGTGTCAAAGGCAGCAGGGTGGAAGGGGACGCTTGGGAGCCTGGAAGTGGATAGCGTGCCGCGCCAAAGCTTGGTGTGTCAGGAGCGGCGAAGCGATTCGCGAAGCCGAAGCCCCTGACCGCCTCCACGACCACCGTGCCTGGCCAGGGCTATGATCCTGGGCTCCTGCGCGGTGCGCGCGCCGCCCGGCCGAGGCTGGGAGGGCCTCTCTCCAGCACCGCAGGGCCCAGGGTGGCCCTGGCCAGGCACGGTGGTGGTGCGTGGATGCCGTCTGTGACAGCCTACCAGACCACCCCAACCGAACCCGACGAGCCAAATTTCGGGTTGGGGGGGGTACGGGTTCCACATGTGTTCTTGTTCAATGCTCCCCGGTGTCCCCCGCCCCACTGGGAATGGAGGGCAAGTTGGGGCCTGCGTGTCCTGGGCGCACGCGCTCCGCCTCTGCCCTCCAGCGCGGCCTCCTCCCTCCCGTCGTGCGTCCTGCGCCGAATCTGCGAGTCCACGCCCTGGTCTGTCGCCACCGACCCGCGATGTGCGTTCGCCAACGCTGCGACCTCAACAGATGGTAGAACTGGCAGGCCAGCGCTGCGACACCAAGAAATGGTAGAACCGTCTCCCCTCTTGGTCGCATCGGCCCGCGTGAATCGCCCACCCACCCGCCCGTCCGAACCGGGCGTTGTTCAATGGGGGGGCCTTCTGCCCTTGGTCTGAAAGCGAATCCTAGACTTACATTCCTTACCGGGGTAGGGGGCTCCTTAAATTTTGCATCGTGGGCACGCAGAGGTCTCGTTTCCTTCTCCGGGACCGGATGTTCATCCCTGAACACCCCTTTTCAGTCCCGTGGCACGGCACGGGTCCCTAGAAGCCGATCGCTGCCCCAACACTTCGTCGCGTGCATTCTCCATGGCGCGGGGGGGCCTGAGCCAGGCGGACCCCGCGAGATGAGCGCGGCAGCGCGACTGCATGAGCTGCACCGGCGTGTCGCCGTCCGCGCACAGCGACAGGTTCGCGCCCGCCAGCCTGCGGAGGCGCCACAGCGCGCAGCGGCGGCCTCCGACCGTTTCGAAGCCACCGAAGGACGACCGCAGCGGGTCGGCGGCCCAGCTGAAGAGGTCTCGTCCGAGGCCGGCGCGCGCCAATCACTCACCACTCTATGTTTTCGTTTGGACTCCGCCGAGGATCATCCGAGGACGTCCTGGGACGCAAAGAGAAGAGGAACAGGAAGGATGAAACCGAATGGATGAAACGAGAGGTGTGCAGCTGGACGAAGCGTGCACCATCGCACGGTCAGCACCAATACTGCGATCATCACTCACCGCTCTAGCAGGAGCGAAAGCGGCACGAGCGCAAACTGTCGGAGGTCCGCGCGGCTTTCGTGGATTGGCGCCAGGCCCTCCGCCCCTGGCGCGCTTCGCGCGCCAGGGAGGAGGGCCCAGCAAGGATCCAAGAAATCTGCGAAGACCTGCAAAGTATGCCGTTGTCTTCCAATTGTGTGCAATTGTTCTCCTCGCAGACCTCCAAGAAGCCGGTGCGGACGACCCAGAAATCTGCGCGGAGCCAACCCACATGTACCCATCGGTCGGAAGAAGTAGGTAGAAACATGAAGTAGGAAAAAATATATTGGGCTTACGCACGCCTCCTGAAGAGGAAGGAAGAGGGAAAACCACTCGACTCTTGAAGTAGGAAGGCGCTGAAAGTAGATTGGAATCTGGGAATCCAAAAAGTACCTACTTTCAACGACCGATGGGTATGCGACTGCTCTTCTTCGGCGCTCGTCGGCGGGAAGCCTGCGGCCTCGCGGGCCCGACTCCTCGGCCGCGACCCCATGGATCTATGCAGGGCGGCGTTGAGCGGAGGCCCCGCACGGAGTGCTCCCATGACCTCGGACTCCAGACGGCGAGGATGGAAATGTTCGTCGATCGTGACATCACTAGTTGCCGCTTGGGGAACCGACTGCTCAAGTCCTCGGGAGGCAGTGGATGTAGGCAGTTACCCGTGGGCAACCTCAGTTCTCGAGCGTACCCACATCCACTGCCTCCCGAGGTCCTGGGAAGTCACCCGAGCGACTTTGAGTGATAAATCTACACTCTGGCCTCGGATCTTGGAAAGACTCGTGGCTTGACCACTTCCGGCACACGGGGTCTAGGCCGCCCGTGACCTGCAGTTGCTCAGCGCCCAGCAGGAAGTTGGTCGTGTTCGAGCTCATGTTGAGCTTGCTCGCCAGTGGTGGGCTCGCCTGAATCGACTCCGTCCGGGTCGCCTTGAGGGGGAGGCTGCATCGGGTGGGTGGTAATGGGGAGTGACCTGAATGGGGGGGTGACATAAAGGGCCCTTTCAGGGCCCTTTGAATCAGCCCCCATTTAGGTCGCCCCAAATTTCCACCCGCCCGACTGTAGGCGAAGCTGCCAGGCGTGGCACCCGAAGGGTGCTCCACACAGATCCGCGGCCAGCTGGCCCACCCCTGGAGGGCAAGCCAGGAGGCGGCCCAAGAGCAGCCCACGCGCAGACCCCTGATATCTCCGGAAACTCCTCTCCGCGGGGGCCCCCAGGGGCCCCCAAGAAGAAGACCACGACGAGTCCACCCCGAAAGGTCCCGCCGCAGAGTCTTCGCAGGGGCCACGGGCGCACCACACGCCCAGCCTTGGCACTCCACCTCCTCCACCTCGGAGGTCCACGGTCCACCCGCGCTGCCCCGGAAAAGAAGACTAATAAGGATGATATAAAACTGCTAAAGATCCTCCTCCACCTCCTCCTCCTCCTCCTCCTCCTCCTCCCCTCCTCCTCCTCCTCGGAGGGGCAAACAGACAAACCCTCTGGATGCTAAAACATGGTCAAGGCGGCCAGGAATGCGCCCATCCAGACCGCCACTCTGTCTGACCCTGGCAACGGAGGGATTACCACGGAGGGGGTCGCCGCCTCCTCCACGAAACGGGACCCCCTGGACCGTCGAGAGCCCCCTAGGACCCCCAGCGGCGCCACAAAAGCATCAAAACCCTCCTGGGTCCTCGATCCTCCCCCCCCTCGACCCTCGATAACCGGGAGGCGGTGGCGAACCCCCCTTGGGCACTGCCTGGCTCACTGGTGGGGCCGACCTCGGCCGACCCCCCTGGCCCCCAGGGGGTGACCAACCCAGCCGCGGACATAGAGAGGCGCCACAAAGCACGTCGGCACGCTGGGCCGCCTCGCGGGAGAGAGGGAGGGGGAGGGAGGGGAAGGCCGCAGGCAGAGGAAGACAAGACATTGCATGAACCTGCCCCCCTCCCCCCTCCCTTTCCAAAGTGGGGGGGGGCTTAGCTACACCCTCCCCCCTTGAACATCCACTGCGCCGGCAAAGCCCCCCAGCCCCCTCATTTTATCTCGCCCCTCAGAAACTACCTCCCCCTCCTTTTCGCGCTACGGAAGCTACCCACCCCCCTTCCTTTCCCAAGGGGGGGGAGGCTTAGTTATCCTCCCCCCTTGGACCTGTACCTGCCCTGCTGGCAGCCCCCCCTCCTCATTTTTTTCCGCCCCTTGGAAGCTGTCCCCCCCCGCCCCTCCTTTCGCGCTCCAGAAGCCCCCCCCCCCGTCCCTTTCCCAAAGGGGAGGGCTTAGCTCCCCCCGCCCCTTGGACCTCCCATGCTGGACCCCCCCTACCCCCTCTTCATTTTCTCTGCTCCTCGGAAGCGAAGATCCCCCCTCCACCCCCCCCAACAAGCGCCAAAGACCGAAAGAACTGCGAAGCCCAACGCTGCCCCGGAAACCACAAAAGCGCGAAAAATCAAAGAGCGCGGACATACGAAAGAGCCTGAAGAAACAAAGGAACTCGAAAAACGAAAGACGCGCCACCGAAAAGAACACCAAAACGAAACGAGCGCCAGAAACCAGAGGGGCGCCGAAAACCAAGAAAGCGCCGAAAACCAAAGACACGACAGAAACCAACAGGTCGCCGCACTCAAAGGATGCGCAGAAACAATAACAATAGCGCGCCGAAAACCAAACGAGCGCCAGAAACTAAAAAATGTGCCGTACACCAATAACACACCGAGAACCCAAATGGCGCCGAGAACCCAAAAAGACCGAAAGCCAAAGGAGCGCCGAAAACCAAAAAGGCGCTGACATCTGGAAGAGCTTCGAAAACCGAAGAACCAACAACGCGCCGAAAACCAAACGAGCGCCGACAACCACAGCGGCGCCGCAAACCAAAGGGACGCCGAAAACCACGTATGCTCCGACAGCCAACAGGGTGTCGAAAACCTATCGAGCGCGCGCCGAAAACAACAAGAGTCGACGAAAATCAAAGAAACTCGAACACACCAAGTCGGCGCAGAAGACTACAAATGCGCAGAAAACCATGGGCGCGCCGAAAACCGAAGGAGCGCCGAAAACCAACAGGGCGCCGAAAACCCATCAGACGCTGAAAACTTTCGATTCGCCCAACACCGACAGAGCGCCAACAAAATCTAGGACGCCGAGAGACAAAGAGGCGCCAAAACCTGAAGGACCACCACAACAAACAAAAACTCCCTAAACCACAAGCACGCCGAAAACCAGAAGGAACCCGAAAGCCAACAATGCCCCCAAGAACCTACAGACAGCCGAAAACCAAAGCGACGGTGAATACCAAAGATGGCCCGAATACCGGAGCGGCCCCGAAAACCACATGGACGCCCCTTTCCCTTAGACGATCCTTGCCAGAAGCCCCCCCCCGCCTCCTCCCCTGTTCGGCTAAAGGAGGAGAATGGCTTGTGAAGCCCTCCCACCCCGTGGCCAAAGGAAGGCTCCGAAGTCCAGAAGACCGCCGACAACCAAAGGGCGACGAGCAGCAATAAAAACACCCGAACACCAAGGAGGCGGCAAAATCCTGGAAGGCGCCGAGTACGACCAGAGCACCGAAAACCGAACGAGCTGCGGAAGTCAAAGGAAACCGAAAACCAAAGGGACGCAGAAACCTAAAGAACCGCCAAAACCCACAAGGGCGACGAGAACCAAAAGAACGCGGAAAACCAACCGGACGTCGAAGACTAAAAGGGCGCCAAAAGCAAAGGAGTAACGAAACCCGACTGGCGCCGAAAACCAACCGAACGCCGAAAACAAAAACGCCGACGGACACCGAAAAGGGCGCTGGAAACCGACGAGGAAGCGCCGAACACCAAAAGATACGCCGGATGCCAAACGATCGTTGAAAACAATGGCGGCGCCGAAAACCAAAACAGCGCCAAAAAACAAGAACGCGCTGAAAACCAAAGAGGCACCCAAAACCAACGAATCGCCGATCCCAGCTGCCAAAAGGAGAGGGGGGTAGCTTCGGACCCCCCCCCCTCCTTTGAAAGGGAAGCCTGGTCTAACTTGTGGGCACTGGAAAAACAGGGGGGGGGAGCTTTGAACCCCCACCCAAGCAAAGCAATTTCAGCTGCGAAAAGAAGGGGGGGTAGCTTGCGAAGCCCCTCGCCCTTTGAAAGGTAGGCCCGGGCTGGCCTTGGGCTATGGAAAAGGAAGGGGGCGGGGTAGGTTTGAAGCCCCCCCCTGGGCAAACCAATATCATCTGCGAAAGGGGGGGGAAGGCAGCTTCCGAAACTTTCCTTTCTTGAACGGGAAGCCCAAGCTAATCTGTGGTCCCCTTTCGGTAGCTTCCAAGCCCCCCCCCCCTTTAGCAAGGCCCCCCCAGCAAAAAAATGCCTGCAAAAGGGGAGGGGGGTGGCTTCGGACCCCCCCACCCTCTTTCCAAGAAGTGCACCACAAGCGCGCACTTTGAAACCTACGATCGGGAGTTGTTGCTTCACATGTCGCGGCGGCGGCCCCAACGACATGCTGAGTCCTGCAAATGGATAGGGTGTCGCTCCGCTCCGCGGGGCGGGAGGCTGGAAACAGCTCGGGGGGTGAAGCTCGAAAGTGTGGACGTGGATATCGTGTCGCGCCGAAGCGTGGTGGGCCAAAAACCGACAGAGCGACACGCTAAGCCAAAGTCTCCGACCGTAAGCTTTCAGTGCTCCGCGCGGATTGCTTCCATCTGTGCTGGACCCACTGGCGGCGCCCGCCATCAAAGAAACCCACGAGGAGCTCCGAAAGCGCATGCTTATGCAGTTGCTAAAATCCTCGGATGGGACCGCGAGACGAAGGCAGGATGATGATCTAAGTTGCCCTGATACGCACTACGCAACACGTAGCGTCGTGGCACGGATCCAAGCGCGTGGACAAGACAAAAACGCAGGTCAGGGGCGGCAGGTTCGCCAACACGTGGGCCAACACGTGCTGAGCCAACATGCAGCGTGATGGCACGTGCGTCTTGAACACGGTGCGAGTGGCGCTTCAACATGGAAGCTAAGGGTCATCGCCGAAACGATCCGCCAGGGGAGGCGGTCCGCCGCAAAGGCGGCCAACGTGCCCAGGGGGGCAGGGGGGAGCAGCGCAGGGGGAGGGGGGGGAGGAAGGGGATGAGGAGACGGACGAGGAGGGAGAGGGGGAAAAGGAGGGGGACGCGGGAGGAGCACTGGGAGGCGGGAGGCGGGATGATGAGTAGGAGGATGGGGGGAGGAAAACGAGGAGGCGGAGGAGGAGGAGGAGGAGGAGGAGGAGGGGGAAGAGGAGGAGGCGGAGGAGAAGGAGGAGGAGGAGGACGAGGAGGAGGAGGGGGAAGAAGAGAAGGAGGACGCAGGAGGAGCACCGGGAGGCGGGAGGCGGGATGAGGATGGGGGGGGAAGGAAGAGGAGAATGAGGAGGACGAGGAGGAGGAGGAAAGGAGAGGGGGAGGAGAGGACGGGAGGCGGGGATGGTGAGTCAGGATGCAGGAAGGAGGAGCAGGCAGGAGGAGGCAGGAGGCAAGGAGGGGGGGGCATGAACCGGACGAGGAAGGCCGTTTGCGGGAATTCTACCCCCTGCACTCGCCCCAGGGCGCCGCGCCCGGCCACGCGCGCCTTTGGGGGGCCGGTCCCAGCGCGCCGATGCAACGGTGGCTGCGCGCGTACTCCGCGAACAAGACCAACACCTACAGGCGGAACCACAAGGTCCGCAGGCAGAAGCTCAAGATCTACAGGCTGAACATCAAGATCTGCAGGGCTGAACCTCAAGATCTGAAGGCAGAAGATCTAGACCTAAATGGTACACCTCGAGGTCCACAAGCAGAGTCTGGAGGTCTACAGGCTGAGGGCTACGACACCACCCACCTTCGTGGAAACTTACGGGCAAGGATGCCCAGACCAAACACGCATAGAGTAACATGGGCGCGCACAGACGCGGCTCTAAAACGAGAGGGGTACTAAGTCTGGCATGGCATACATCCCCGACCCGACGACATCATTCTCAATGCTACGACCCTCGCGAGAGAATCCGAGAACGAGCTGCGTAACAAGCAGCCGAACTGCGAGAACGAGCTGCGTAATAGGCAGCCCAGGTACGAGAAAGAACTGCGTAACAGGCAGCCCAAGGACGACCACCACCAGTACGACACCAAGTTCGCCCCCAATATCGACACCAGTAACGACACGACCGAGCAGCCCAAATGGGGTTACAGTTTACGCCGTCGCGGAGATGCTGGTGGACAACGGCCGCGCCGCCTACGACCAGTACGACTACGGCCGTGCCGCATGCTATCAATACGACTACCGCAGCTTGTCCGATAGCGACCTGTACTCCTGCGACCCCCAGGACTGCTCCGGCTTCCAGAACATGGAGCACTACGACTTGGCAGCCGACGAGGAGAGGTGCCAGGGCCACCTGCTGAACTACTAGAACCACCGGCAGAGCTACAAAAAAGTCAGCCGGCTGACCTAAGAGGGCCACAGGCTGAACTACGACAGCCACCCGCAGGGATACGAGGACAACAACCTGAGCTAAGTGAGCCACTTGCTGAGCTACCTGGGCCACCTACTGAGCTACCAGAGCTTCCAACAACGGGGGCTCCCAGCTGAACTACGAAGGCCTCCAGCCGAGCCATGCGAAACACCAGAAAGGGTACTATGGCCACCTGCTCAGCTACAAGTGCCACCAACATAACTACGAGGGCAGAACCACCCAGTTACTAGGACAACCGGCTTAATCACGAGGACCACAAGGCGGGCTACAAGGACCACGACTTGAGCTACGAGGGCCACTGGAAGAGCTACCCAGGCAAATTGCTGAGCGACCACAGCTTCCAACAACTACGAGAGCCACCAGCTGAACTACAAGGGCCTCCAGCTAACCCACGAGAGGCACCGGGAGAGGTACCAGGGCCACCAGCTGAGGTACCAGAAGCACCAGCAAAGCTACGAGGGTCGCCAGCTGAACTACGGAGATTTCCAGCAAAGCCACAGGGACCACAAACAGGGAAACGAGGACCACAAGCTGAGCTACAAGAACTACCAACAAAGCTACAAGGGCAACCGGCTGAGCTACGAGGACCACAGGCTGTACTACGAAGGCCACGCGCAAGGCTACGAGGACCACTGCCTGCCACGAAGACAACACTGGAAACAAACGACCTGGGTCTACTGCTGAGCTACCAGGGCTCCCAGCTAAGGCACGACGACCACCAGCAGACACAAGGGTTCGGTCTGACCTACCAGGGCAACCAACTGAGCAACGAGGGCAACCTGCTGGACCACATGAGCTGCGAGGGCCACTAGTTGAGCTCCAAGGTCGACAAGCCGAGCAACGAGGACAACGCGCCGACTAGAGACATTCATTTATGCAGTGCGCAAGCAAGGCGAATGATTTCTGTATCGGCGCGTAGAAAAAGGCGTGCGCACGGCCGGAATAATTGAATATAAAAGGGGGTATAAGGCGGGATCGCTGGGACCGAACCTTGAACCATGCGCCCAAGGAGAACCATAGCAGACCATGCAAAGCAAGTGTGAAAAAGCGGGGCTACCGATCGAGTCTGGTGGTAACCAGTTCCGCGTTGCCTCGCCGGTCGCCGTGCGCAAACCGCACAAGGATTCACGCAAAAATGTCGGGTTTCGGCGGGGAGCTCCACTGACCGCAGCCTACCGACAGCATGGAGGGACATAGGGCCCCACTGACCTCCCCCTGCAAACAATTGCCTGGCAGCTGACAGTTTGATGGAGCAGTGCCTCATGGATGCTGTTGATCCACAGACAAGTCAGCTGGGGCCGCACGCGCGCGCATGACAATTTTCAGATCGTACCAGGCTGCGGTCGCCTGTAAAACTTGGCAATCCGATGACTTACTCAGTTGCCCTGATCGCCCTTCCTCTGGGTGAAACTGCTGTGCTGGGAGATCGGGGCGGTATTATGGTTGTTCTCGTCGCTCAGCATGCCGGAGTTGTGGACGTAGCTGATTTCACCGTACATGACGGAGGGGATGAGCTCCCCGCCGATGCTGCCCTCGGTAATCGGGTCGGCCCTCATGTCCCGAGTGCCGTACCAGAGCATGTCTTCGATCTGCTGGGTGCGGAGCTGCTGTTCTCGGAACGCGGCCGTGCTGGGTCCGTGGCCTCAGCGCTGAAGCCGGACGTGCCGTCTCCGACTTGCTCTGCAAGCACGGCGCATCCTCCCCACTGCCGTCGGCCTCATGATCTCTCCAGCTGACACGGGGCCGCGCGCCTTCACGCGAAGCGCAAGGAGGCGCGCCTGCAAGATGTCTGCGGCGCCGCATGCTGCGATCGGCTCGCGGCGCCTTGCAACTGGCGCGCCTGCTTGCCAGTGCGGCGGCGCTTGCCCAAACGCATGTATACAGTTCCTCATATGCCGCACCCTGTCTCTTCCTCCCTCTTGAACGACCGCTGCGTGCGCATATTTGTCGGGCGCATTCCGCGGCTGTGGATGCGACGCGCTCCGCGATTGTCTGCGTGGCCATAGCGACGGAATTGAGCTGCATCACGCGGCGGACGAGCAGCTCGTTCTGGGCTCCCTGCACAGCGACGATGCACACTGCAACGCGGTGCTGGGCGAACAGGGCGTGAGCAGCTGCTCCCGCGACGAAGACGAAGAGGTCTAGAAGCTCACCTCCGGCCGGCTCGTCGGCCTCGGCTTTGGCCGGGCTGGCGTGCGTGACAGGTATCGGGGCGTTCGCGCGCTCGTCCTGGTCGAACGTCGCGGCGTCCTCGGCACTGCGGTGCTGGTGTACTCCGCAGTTGGCGAGGTCGTTAGAATCACCCGTCATCTTGCCGAAGATGCCCTCGACGCGGTCGATCAGCTGGTCGACGTGACTCTCGCGCCCAGCGACGCGCGAGGACAGCGCGGGCGCCAGCTCCGAGCCGCAAGCGCCGCGGCTGCCAGACGTCTCGCGCTTGACCTCGAGCTCCAGGCCCCGCCGAGCGGAATTGCCGCGGCGCTCCGGCGAGCGCGTGGCCCGGTCGAGCTTCGTAGAGGAGGCTCGGGGCGCGCCTTTGCAGCACATGCCCAGCCTGACTCAACGCGGCGCAGTCGCCCGGCTCGATCGTCGCGCCTCTAGTAGCCAGGCGCTTGCTGCAGGATGGCTGCGCCGCCGGGCGGCGCGGCGAAGTTCGCCCGGCGAAGCGTTTTACTCCGCCCCTGCATCTCGGCGTAACTAGGCCACGCCCTGCACGCGCGCCTGCTCGACGCCAACGGCGATGAACGCCTTGTCTGGGCGACGAGCGGCCGCGGTGGACATCGCGCGCTGGGGCGCCCGCTTCGCCGCCCCAGCGAATGTCTCCTGGGCCCCAGCGCCCGCTTCGCGGAAACTTCTGAGCGCCGCGCGGCCCTGCCGCCTGGCCCCCTCCGGCGCTTCCCCTTGACGACGCGTCTGGAATCCACGACGTTCCGGGCGCCCTTAAGCGGCCACTCCGTCGAAACGGAAGCTCCTCGACGATGGCCGCCGCGACCTCCTGCGACAGCCCCGACGCCCCCTCGCTGGCCAGAAGGTTGGCGTCGCGATTGATGACCGCGGCCTCGACGGCCGCGCGGAAGTTCAGCGCGGCTGTCTGGGGGGCGCCGGAAACCCTGTCACCGGGCGCTTCCTCATTGAAGCTCAGGAACGCTTCGCGAACCCCTGGGCCGAGGCATATCTCCACGCGTCTTCCACATACGTCCTCCTCGTCTAGCGTGGCGCAGTCGTCCAGGGAGGCTCCGCGCAGGTCGCGGCGGCGCTGCGCGCGGATGCTCAAACGCCGGCGTCGCGAGCCCAGGCGCTGGGGCCACTCGCGGGGCCCGCGGACAAGACCGGCCGTTGCGTGCTGGGCGGCAGCGAAGATCCTTTGCCGACTCCCGGCGCTCCGGGGGCCCCCCAGCTCCTGGGCCAATTCTTCTGCCCCTGTCGACTTTGCGCCAGGCTGCCAACATCACCTGTTGGACGTGGCCGGGGAAGTGGCTCTCGGCCCCCTCGGGATAGCCGCCAGGGCTGACGCATGACCTTCCTCGGTAGTGCTGGCGGCGCCCTCGGGAACGTCGATTAAACAGTAATTGAAAGATCCGTCTTGGTCTTGCACGGCGTCTGCTGCCAGCAACGGTTCGTCACCCGAGGTGAACTGAATGTGACGCGAGCTTCCTTCCACAACTCGCCGACTACCTGATGGGTGTCGAGCCTGACTCCGTCGCGCTGAATCTGCCGCGTATTGCCCAGGTTCTGAAGGGTCGCCTAAAAATCTAGGCTGCAGGTGCAGACCGGCCAATCGCCCATGGATTTCTGGCCCAGACGCATGGTTCGTCCGTCTGGCAGCTGAGAGCATCTGCGGGACAGATGGCGCAGAGTTTCGACGATGTCGGGGGGGTACCGCGTTTGCGCGGTGTTCTGCGAGACCTCGCGTCCTCCCAGCGGCCGATGGCAAGGGATCCTGGTATGGTGTGTTCCAAGAAATCCCCCACGCAGTCCCAAGCCAAGCCTGCCCGCGACGAGTTGGTGCCTACGTCGTCGAAGACGGCACCGATGAGGGGCCGGACGTTCTGCAGGCTGCAAACCACGTCCGCTCGGCGGTACTGGACCCTCACCTTGCCTCTATCCGGGCCTACAGACATAACCGTCCCAAGGCGCGCCCAGCCCGACACGTCATTCGTGCTCGGGGGCCTGTGTCCTTCCACCTGGTCGCCAACCTTGAACCGGCCCTCTCCGAACTCACTGGCGCATACGCGGAGGGCACAATTCACGCGTGAGTCCGACGTGGCATCGATCGGGCGTTGCAGTGCGGTTTGCCGGTACTGGCTGCACTTCCCCACCAGCAGAATGCTTAACACTAGTGCCACAGGCATCGGGTACATCACCACATGTGCCTGTCACTGGACCGGCTCGGACCTGTGGTCGAGTAACACAGTCACCCGTACCACTGCCGTCCGCCCCCGCGCTGGATGACGAGCTGGATCTTGGTGTACCGCCTGGCGCCTGCGGCCTCTCTCCATTTGCCTAACCCTGCAGTGCGCTGCCGTAAGACCTCATGTGCCCCCTGCTGCCTTGGCTCCTCGGTCTGCCCACTAGAAAGTGCTGGAAATTGCAACAACACCTTGGCGCGTCGAATGCAAAGCGGTTTCGCTACAAACGTCTGGCTGAAAAAACCTGCGGAAAACTCAATGCGTATACGACCCTTCTCCATGAACCGTGAAGTTCCATGTACCGCTCTGTAGCTCGTACGTGAGAAATGCTGTCGTCACAACGTATTCCATTTCCCTTGGCACGGCCACCACATGCACCGCAACGCCGGTGTCAGAGCCGACTGGGGAAAGCTGGAGTGCTAAATCCATCGGACCAGGTAGTCCAGCTGGCCTGACGACATCGAAATATCGTCGTGGCTTGCTTGGACAAAACTACCCTACCTTTGGCTGCTGCGTATGCTTGCAAGGACGGGGAACGAGGAGGGAAGAAGGGAGGCGCTGAGGAGAAGGAGCGAGGAAACGTGAGGAAGAGGAGGTAGGCAAGAATCGAGAAGGAACGCGAAACAGGAGGGAGGAGAGGCATTCGGGGTCGCCTCGCTCCCGCGTCCGCGGCGGCGGTGGGCCCCCCGCCGAGCCGCGGAGCCGCCGTGGCTCCTCTGACGGCGGCCGCGGCCTCCGTCACGGCCCGGAACACCGGGTCGACGCCTCGGCCGGTGGGGTGCGCCAGGTTGGATGATGACATGGCCCAAAGGACCTCATTGGTTTCCAAATGTGCCATCCGTCGGTTTTGCATGTTGTTATGTTTGTTATGTTCGTGAGCGTGTCTAGAATGTGCGCGCGACGCGCGGAAGCCACTTTGGCCCATGCCTGACAAAAGGTGGCTAAGATCTCCAGAAACGCGCCGCATACACCAGACGGCGTCGTGAACTGGGTAGTGCAACCAAAAACCACAGTTCCCCTTCCTCCTCGTCCTCATTTGGAACTGAGCGCGATTCACTGCCTCGCTTCCCTAAACGCAGCGCGGAACCGGCCGCCAGCGCGCGCGCCTCACAGCTTCGAGGAAGGTGGGGGTCACCTACCCCAGACACGCCTCCCAGAGGCGGGGGCCCAACCCAGGGAGCCTGACGGAGGCCCAATGGATACCAGCGCACCCCTCGTCGTCCTCTTCCTCTCCTTCTCCGTTGCCGGACTCATTGCTGCATGGGCTTGTGGGGATACGTTTTGTACGCGGGCGCGCAAAACGAATCGAACGCCGTGCAAGCAGGGGCAGGCCGTGCCACAAGCGAAGGAAGAACATAACGGCGGGCAGCGTCAAGCACAGAGCGGGACAGAGCTCAGGGCACCCAAAATGGCGCGGGCGGCGTCACGAACTGGCACCGGGAACACGTCCGTGTAGGTGTCGAACAGTATGCAAGTCAGTGGAAGGCGACCCCACTTACGACCACGGAGAGAACGCCTCACTTACCCATGACGGCGGTGACATAAAGGGTGAGAGAAACTGTCGTTCAATTCCCCAGGTAAGAACTCGACGTCTATGAACCCTTCGGCCAGACAGACATAGAGAAACTCTGGTGGGGATACGCGAAGCGGCAAGGATACAAGAATGGACCAGGGGACGTCTTCCCACTCCGCATGTTTCCTCGTCCTCAACCTATGTGTTGATACGTTTGAAGTTGGGGGGGTCATTTGTGGCGTGTGCGAGTTGCGGGCTGTCGAGCAGCCCAGTTGCTGGGCTGAGGATTGCCATTGTCATTGTGGCTCCACCCTACCGACCTACATCCTCGCCATCCTCCTCCGTTACCGGAGCCGTGGATGGGCCGGTGAGGGTAACTACGCGAAGCGTCAAGAGTTCAAGTAGAATGATGCGGTGGCCTGGGGGACTTATCTGACCACCTCGCCGATCCTGTCTGGGCCGATTCTTGGCCCAGGGTGGGTGTCTACGCCTCCCAGGCCAAGCCAGAAGAGGACACAGACTGGCCCTGGGCCCAGGATAGACCTGGCGAGGATTAGTGAGGTAGTCAGTGAACTTCTCCCCAGTGGAGTCCTCCCAGACGACCCACTTCACCCCTATAGGGGGGGAGTCGTGGACCCTTTCGCGCCGCCTGGAGGCTCCGTGCTCCTGAAAAAGCAGCACCCTGTACCACCTTTGGGGCGCGTTTCGCCATGAACTTCAAGGGACATCCAGGCGTCGCAACAGACGTGCGCCAAAAAGTCGAAATCCTCCATCGCTTTCCTCCTCCTCCTCCTCCTCCTTCTCCTCCTCCTCCTTCTCCCCCCTCCTTCTCCCCCCTCCTGCCTTCGACGTGTTCGAATCTCCTGCCCCGTAACTCTCGATCGCTTCCCCGCGGTCGGCTGTTGGTCCTGCTACGCTTTATCGGCAACCCCAGGGGACAGAAACAGGCCCCCAGACGCTGCAGGTCGCGAAACAAAAGCTCTGGCTCGGATGCTGCGAGTCGCCGCGGAGGTCTGGGCCCCGTTCCCCATGTAGCCCTCTCCCCTCAGCCAGAGGACCGAAGTGGGCGGAGATGGGCCCCCCTGCGCTGGGGTCGTGCTGCGCGCAAGGGGCGGCAACGCCAATGCCGTTCCCCGCCCCGCCTCTCCTCCGACTCCCCCCATCCCTCCATCCATCCGTTCCTCCTCCTCCTCCTCCTCCTTCCGCTCCTTCTCCATCCATCCTTTTCCCTCCATCCCCCTCCTTCCGCTCCTTCTCCGCTCCTTCTCCGCTCCTTCCGCTCCTTCTCCGCTCCTCCGACTCCCCCCATCCCTCCATCCATCCATTCCTCCTCCTCCTCCTCCTCCTCCTCCTCCTCCTCCTCCTTCCGCTCCTCCGCCTCCTCCTCCTCCATTCATCCGGTTTCCTTACCCCCTGACGTGTGGGTAGGGCGCGCCAGACGCTTCGCCGGAAACTGCATCACAATGTGCGATCCTGAAGCTTGACTTGTTTCTGTTTTTTCTCCTCCCCAGGCGACGCACTTCCCACCACGAATCAGCAAGGAATAGGATGGTATCGCCCGGAAAGCCTACACTTTGGACCAGGCTTCGAAAATACATGGCGTGAAAAGTCCCATGAATGACCACGTAAACTTGGATGCCACGTACCTGCGAAGAGAGGGAGGAGGAGGAGGAGGAGGACGAGGAGGAGAAGCGGGAGAGGACAAACAAGGACAGCCGATCCTGAAGCTTGACATTTGCAGCAATGCCACGGATTGAGGGCGAGTGGTTTTCACTATGTGGTGTTCGCCTTAGCGCCGGGCACATTCGTCTCAACAGTTTGCAGCAGCGTCAAGGATGGAGGGCGGGCCATTTTCAAAGTGTGGTTTCGCCTTAGCGTCGCGAACGTTCGTCTCAAAAGTTCGTAGCAGCTTCAAGGATGGAAAGCGGCCCCTTTTCAAAATGTGGCTCTCGCAATACGCGCTTCGAGGGACCTACGAAAACAGGTTTGAAGGGGGAAGGGGGAGTGGACATAGCACTACGATGACCAGCTCAACGACGCAATCATGAAGCCACTGAGCTACCACAACTGCCGTGCGTACTGCCAATCGCCCTCAGCCTCACCCAGCCTGCCAGGCTCGATGCGAAAACACCTGGGCTTGCACAGTGAGCAGCATGCATGTGCCATGTAATCGGTGCCTTGGTGGAGGAACATTCGCACGAGCAGGAAATTACAAACGTCTGAATCGAAAAAGACAAACGGACACTGGCGCAGTGTGTTCATCAATTCCATGTGGTCCCATCAGCCATGTATATAATGAGGACTTTCACAAGGGCTGCAGAAAAAAAAGTCTCGCAGTGCATACCAAATTCATGCACATGCGGCGGCGTGGCTGACATCCCCAGGATCCTATCATCTTAGAGGGCGGAAGCGGGAAGGAGGAGAGGAGAGAGGAGGAAAGAGGGGCAAGGGAGAGAGACGCAGGAAAGCTACAGCTCAAAGAAACTAAGCAAGTGAAGTCGATGTGATTGAAAGTTTGACTGAAGCGGAGGGCCTAAGCCACACAACCTGGCTGACCGAACGGTCAGGCAGCTGCGAGGGCAGCCAACGCCACACATGCATGTCTGGAGCGCCGCCCAGTGAATGTGGGCTGGACCGCGGGATAAACTCAAAAGAACACCTCTGATATCAAACACGTGCAAAGAGGACCGCTGGGATGGCCACCGACGCCGGGAAGGAGGAGAGGCACACAGAAGCCACCTAAGATCTCCTCTGCCAGGCTCAGCACACATGCAGAAGCCCGCACAATTTGAAGTCACCGCACCAGTTCGAAGCCCCAGCACCAGCAGGATGAGCTGGAGATACAGAGGCTCGTGTATATCAGCGTTGCCACCGCCCCCCATATCTGCATGAGTGGCATGTGTGCCAATTCAACCAGGTCGTTGGACTCGAAGGCCTCCTTCGAAGATCGGTAAGTGTCCCCACCTGTTTGAGGGAAGATCCCACACGCAACATGTACCCGTCGTGCTGCATTTGGTGCCCGTTGGTGTCTGTCGTGCTGTACCCGTAGGTGTTGGTGTCGATTCTGGTGCCAGCTCTGGTGTCGGTGCTGTTGTCGATGTCGATGTTGGCGCCGGAGTCAGTGTTGGTGCCGGGGCTGGTCCCAGTGCTGGTGTCGTATGCACCGACACTTATGGCCAACAGCGAAAAATGCGAGGGGGGCAGGAAGTGTCCGCCCCGGGCAAGCGCAACAAACAAGAACCAATCGGATCCCCGCTGCTGGTCCCCATCGCACTGCTCATCGTATGGAGCTGGAACCCGTGGCGCTCCTCAGTGTCGTGCTGCTGTTATCTGGTAAGCTGTGGATTGACGCTGGAACTGCTCATGGCGGTGCTGGCTGGTAGTCCGGAGCGGGAGTCGTTGGTGGTTGCGGCAACATCAAGAAAGCGAGCGCACCACACCGCGATCAGAACGACGAAGTCGAGGAAAAGGATTAAACATACGAGAGGGCAAGAGAATACGAAGCGAGCATGTCGAAGAATACGTAGCACCCCGCAATTGCGGATAAGAGTGAGGGGGCGGGCGCGGGCGACGCGGGCGTCGTCAAGCCGGCGGACCTCGTGGCCCCCACCTTCCCTGTCGATGGCGCTCTCCTCCTCCTCCTCCGCCTCCTCCTCCTCTTCCTCGTCCTCGTCCTCGTCCTCATCGTCATCGTCGTCCTCCTCCTCCACCTCGTCCTTCTCCTCCTCCTCCTCTTCTTCCTCCTTCCTCGTCCTCCCTCTCCCCCCGTCGTCCTTCCATCATCGTCCTCCCATTGTCGTCATGTTCCTCCTCGTCGTCCTCCTCTTCCCCCCCTCCCGATCCTCCCCCCTCCTCCTTTTCGTCGTCGTCGTCGTAGACGTCGTCGTCGTCGTCTCCTTCCTCCTCTTCCTCCTCCTCCTCCCCCTCCTCCTCCTCCTCCTCCTCTTCCTCCTCCTCCTCCTGCAAAAGCAGCCCGCCGCAGGCGCCGAAAAATTTGGTTTGTACACTGAACGTGGTTTGGGTCGCGGGTGGGCCGCGGATTCTCCACCGGGAACGAATGCAAAAGATGCCCGCCGCAGGCGCCGAAAAATTTGGTTTGTACCCTGAACGTGGTCGCGGGTTGGCCGCGGTCTCTCCACCTAGAACGAATGCAAAAGATGCCCGCCGCAGGCGCCGAAAAATGTGGTTTGTACTCTGAATGTGGTTTGGGTCGCGAGTTGGTCGCGGGGTGGGTCGCGGGCTCTTTACCTGGAAGGAATGCAAAAAAAGCCCGCCGCAGGCGCCGAAAATGTTGATTTGTACCTTCAACGAGGTTTGGGTCGAAGGTGGGTCGCGGCGGGTCGCGGGTGGGTCGCGGGTGGGTCGCGGGTGGGTCGCAGGTGGGTCGCGGGGGTCGGGGTGGGCCGCGGGCGGGTCGCGGGGTGGGTCGCGGGTGGGTCGCGGGTGGGTCGCGGGGTGGGTCGCGGGGTGGGTCATGGGGTGGGTCGCGGGTGGGTCGCGGGTGGGTCGCGGGGTGGGTCGCGGGGTGGGTCGCGGGATGGGTCGCGGGTGGGTCGCGGGTGGGTCGCGGGTGGGTCGCGGGTGGGTCGTGGGGTGGGTCGCGGGGTGGGTCGCGGGGCGGGTTGCGGGTGGGACGACGACAACAAACAACAACAACAAACAACAACAACAAACAACAACAGCAAACAACAACAACACGAATCCGCACCGCGGAATCCCACTTCAGCCACGCACCCAAGGACAGTGAATGACCGTTCGGCCCCCTCACTCTGACGGCAAACGCAGTCGGTAGCCGTGTCAGCGTGGCCGTCGTGATACATGGTGATACAAGTCGGGGAAGTGATGCCCAGCGTCGTGCTGCTGCTCACCGTCGCGCGACCAGGAAATGCTGCTCAAAGATGTGTCGAACGTGGACGTCGATAATGAAGCCGCCAGAACCTGCCCGAGGGCGCTCGTGAGAAGCGGGCGAACTGAGAGTGGCGTAGCGGAGATGGTGATGATGGTATATGGAGGGTCTTGCTGCGGGTAGGGTCTGCTGTCAATGGCGGCCACGATGCAGAAACCAGTCGGCATGGGCGTCGGCGCAGTTGCGCGCGATGCCGCCGGGGTCGTGATCAACCTGGCCCTCGACGACGGTCTTGGAAGGGATGTAGGGGATGTTGTCGGCGTGGGTGTCGGTGTCGCACAATTTCATGAAGTTGTCGGCGTCGTATCAACGTGTTGTCGAAATCGATGTGGGCGACATCTGCGTCGTCGTCACCGTAGACGTCGTGACACACGCCGTCCTCCATCGCCGTGGGAAACTCATCGTCGCGAGCGGCCACCCGCCACTTGCGGAAATTGATGAACTCGTCTTACCCCAGCGTCACTGCGAACAACATCGCGCCCCAGCTGTCTCATGATGGCCCGGGAGGCCCTGGTTCTGGCTTCCACCGTGTCGAAGGCCCGCCGACGCACCTGGTTGACAGCCGTGTGCAAGACGTAGGTCTTGACAGCCTGGACCTGCAGCTGCTGGTCTGTCATGTTGACGGCGCGGGAAGCATGTGCGAAAGAGCTGCTCACCGCAGTGGTCCCCAAACGCGAAGTTGCCCAAGCTCTGAACACAAGGCAAAGCAATTAATGCTCCACCGAATCGCTCGCCGTGTGTTAGCATCCGAGTGCGAAAGGTCGCTGTTGTCCTCGACGGTGGCGCATCGGTCGGTCCGTTGTCCAACGGTTGAGGATCGTTGAGGGTCGCTGATCGCAGCGACGGTAGCGCCGACCTCTTCAGCACCCCAAGTTGTCTGAGCACTTTTCTTGCAATCCGCCCAGCTGGTCCAGTGAGCCGCCATCGATCCAGTCGACCCCGCAAGCGCCGTTCAGAGCAGTAGCCGTCGCGTGATAATAGCTGGCCCACGAAACGGACCTACGAAAAGGGTACATGGTGGAAGGAGCATTGCAACATCATAACATGACATTACACTGGCCCTCCCCCTCCTCCCCATCCTCTTCCTCCTCTTCCTCCTCCCTCTTCCACGTCCTCGTCCTTCTTCGTCCTTCTCCTGTTAAAAGTCCCCGTCCCCCCCCCCAGGAGCTCTCCAGGAGTGCGTTCTGACCAAAACAAAAAACCCGAGGCGGATACAGCCGTAGCGACGAGGAGCCTCCCCGTCTTCTTCGCATTCGTGATAAATCACGTGACCGCTCCTCCCCCCTGGTCACGCCCGTCATCACCAGGAGATGACCAATCGGCTGCGCGCAAGAGTAACCCTAGGCAGGATGGACCTTCGGTGAGCGGCTTTCGAGGGCCGCGGGTAAGCCGAACCCGAGAGCACAAGCCGCTGCCATCACATAGCGTTCAGCCATCCGAGGGCCCCAGCATTCCCGCACCACACCAAGGGTCACTCCAGCGAAAGGTCACTCTCACGTGCAGCCGAACAACATGGTCTCCAGACACCGGCGGCGCCGGGCGAGGGCGCCCGAAGACCGACAACCGCCAGAGACTTGCCGTCGCGTCTTCGCAGCGCAAAAGAGGTGAGAGGCCCTCTGTCCGACGACGACGACGACGTCGATGACGTAGGGCTATCGGGCCCCATATCGGCGATCAGTGGGCGACGGGGGGTCCATGCGTCCCCCCTGAACCTTGCCTCCCTCCCCCCCATGTTGCACAGGAGCGAAAACGACAGCGCCATCTCCCTCCGCGTCATTTCCTTTTTCCCTTCCTACCCTCCTCCTCCTCCTGCTCCTCCTCCTCCTCCTCCTCCTCCTCCTTCTCCTCCTCCTCCTTCTCTTCCCACTCCTCCTCCTCCTCCTCCTCCTCCTCCTCCTCCTCCTCCTCCTCCTCCTCCTCCTCCTCCTCCTCTTCCTCCTCGTCCTCCTCCTCCACCTTCCCCTCCTCCTCCTCCTCCCCCTCCTCCTCCTCCTCCTCCTCCTCCTCCTCTTTCACCTCTTCTCCCCCCCGCATAAGCCGGGGGCCCAGTGAGCACACCGGGATGGTCGGGGAGCCCAAAATGGTCGACTGCCGGCTGGAGGTCGGGATAACAAAACCGGTGGGGGCCACCGGACGGAGGTCCTGGGCGACCAACCCGAGAACTGCTGGGCAACCGACCCAACGACCAGCGCAGAGGTGGGGCTCCACTTTGGGGCTTGGGGTGTGTCGCCCTCGGAGGGGGCGATCGGGGGTTGGCGACCTGGGTTTCCCTTTTGCTTGGTTCCCCCCCCCCTGCTCCCAGCTCGGGGCCCCCAGGCTCCATCCTCCGCTCGCCGCCATGCTCAGGGGCTGGGGCCGGTGGCCCCTGCGACAGCGGCCAGTGTACCGCGTCGGAACGCGGGCGCCAACGCCGCCGCCGCGGGGGGAGGGCGACATGTGGTGGTTGAGTTCTCAGCCGCGTCTTCTCGTCGGCCCTACACTCGTGCTAATTGTTGGGCTGCTCAGGATAGCAGAATCCTCATAGCAGAATCCTCCACCTCTTCCCACTCCTCCTGCTCCTCCTCTTTCCGTTCTTCATCCTCCTCCTCGTTCTCCTCCTCCTCCTCCTCCTCCTCCTCGTTCTCCTCCTCCTCCTCCTCCTCCTCCTCCTCCTCCCCCTCCTCCTCCTCCTCCTCCTCCTCCTCCTCCTCCTCCTCCTCCTCAGAAAGCCTCCTCCCTCCCTCGATGCCGACGACGACCACCACCAGGCATCACCCACGCTCAGCGGCCTCGCTGCGCGCGGGGCGGGAGCCCGAAGGCGCCCTGCGCCGCCGCGGCGCAGAGCAGCCCGCGCAGCAGCCTCTGGGGGGGGGGGGCGGTATGATCGGAGCGGCGGGGCAGTGTGAGACAATGGGAGTTCAATAGCTTGGCGGCGAGCGCGGGGGGGAGGGGGGGGCGCGGAGCAGGGGGGGGGGGGGCGAAGAGGAACGGCAGCAGGAGGAAGACGAGGGGGGTCACGGAGGAGAGCACGGAGGAGGCGATGGAGGGAAGGGAATGAAGCGGCAGCACGAGGAGAAGGGGGGATTACAGAGGAGACAAGGACGAACAGGAGCAGCAGACTGGAGGGAGGAATGGGAGGATAGGGGAGCAGAGAAGCACCCACACGTTCCCCGGGACCCCCTGCGAAGACCCCTCCTAGAGACCCACATTCACAATTGATCCCTTCCGTACTCCCTTCTGTTCCTCCCTCCTCTTAGCTTCCCTCAACGTCTTGGAAAGCGACCCGTGGGGGGGAGTGAGAAGGAGAAGGCCTTCCTAGAAAGCGGCGGGACTTCTCAAAGCCCTCGCGCCTTCTGAAAGGTTTTCTGTGCCTTCCGGGAACGATGAGAAAACGACTCAGAAGGCCAGGGGGTGTCCGAGTCTTCTGCGAAGGCCCGCCCTGTCTTACTTCTATGCCGGGCTCGCCACCAAGAATCGGCCCCCCACCCCCTCCCGGGGTCCAAACGCACCAGTTGTCCGCGCTGCGTCCAGCCGTGGCGACGAGGAGGCCCCCCGAAGGCCAACTGCCAAGGTCTCAAGCGGCCAAAAAAGGGGCGGCCCGAACGAGGGGTGGGGTCGGAGCTTCGGCAACCTGAGTTCGCTCGACGGGGGCTCGAGAAAACTGGCACTCAACCAGGAATGCCAACAACTACTAGCAGTGAAGCATCCGGGAGCCTGAGGAGCGCCCCAGGGGACCCGAGGGCCACCTGGATACCTGGACCCTGTTGGGCCCTCGTTGGCTCTGGCGCGGTCCCATCTTACAACATTTGTGGAGAGAGGGAGGCTAAAGAAGGAGGACGGGATCCGTGCTGGACTGTTTTGTTGCGGTCGGGAGCTTTTGCATGCATAGCGTGTCGCGGCAGCGGCCCCAACAGCACGCTATGCCCTGCAACCAGATAACATGTCGATCCGCTCCGCGGGACGGGATGCTCGGAAAAGCTACTCCAGACTTCGTAATAAAGGGAGGGCGGTCTCATTTCGGGGGGGGGTCTCTTCCAGGCTATCTTGGAGGGCCTGGGGGGGTCTGGGGACTATGTTTTGGAGGGTTCTCCCACGGGGGAGGTCTGAAATGGCTTGTCTTGGAGGGTCCAGACCCCCTCCCTTTTATTACGAATTCTGGAGTACGTTGACGCTCGGGGACGTGGTCGCGGATAGCGTGTCGCGCCGAGGCGCGGTGGGCCAGAACCGGCGGCGCGACACGCTAAGCGAGCCTACCTTCCCGACCGTAACCCCGGGATTCAGTCAGAGCATGCAGTCCAGAAGACCCGCATTCACTTCCACCAAGGCACCGCAGCCAAGCCGAAGATAGGGCCGCAAGCCTGCCCAACAGTGCAGGCCTCTCCTGAGGACGGAGGAGGGACACGGTTCAGCCATCACACCGCCAGTTTGCACAGCCCCCGCGGGGAAACTTTACGACAATTCGCCACCTGTACCCTAGACGGGCAGAGGAAGGAAAGAGGACGGAAGAAGACGAAGGGAGGAGAAGGAAGGCGGAAGAGATCAGTTGAACATCATCAACCACCACCGCGATGAGCGACTCCAATCTCAGCGTCTGAATATCCCGACAGCAAGGCTTCGCCGCAGGGTACGACGGAGTAGCGAAAGTAGCGATTCGGCCCGCGCCTACTACGAAGCAGGGTGCTTCCAAAAATCCTTCCTTCCACCCCGAATCCCACTTTCGCTCGTGGCTGAAGAGGAAGGGGGGAGATAACAACATAAAAACAAACAACATGAACATAAGTTGTTGGACGTCCAACCGGACTTCTTGGTTCCGCGCCAAGACCCCTCGATGGCGCGCAGAGCGCGCCAGGGGCGGCGCCGGAGGCGCCGCCAGGGAGGCCCAGGCGCGGATCCCAAAAAATCTGCGCGGAGTTCCCGAACTTTGATGCCCATGTGATTTTACTTCTTCGAGGCACGGAAAATGGCCAGGAGGAGGGAGGTTGATACATAATGGACGATTTGGGCGATGCTTACTGGGAAGCGATAAATATGGGGGGAAGAAGCGTGCACTTTTTTCTCTCATTTTTGGTGTCGCAGGGGGTCATTTAAGGGCCCCTTCAGGGCGCAGGAGATGCACCTCTGTTCGCCCCCCCATTCGTCGCCCCCCAATTTCGGAACGCCCGAATGACTCGGGGCTTCGTAAGCGGGGGCTTACCTAAACGAAGGCGTAGGCTACTCCATATGCTCCCCGTTTACTATGCCCACGTCTGCGGCGCCAAGAGCCCCCTAAAGGCGGGCATTGCAAAACGTGGAAATCGGCGCTCCCCTGCCCTATCGCCCCCCCAGTAAGTTGCAAGGGCAAGTGTCCCACCACCACCACCGCACGTAGGGAGGGGGAGAAGGGAGAATGGGGACGTCCTCCTCCTGCTTCGTCTCCTAATTATGGTAGTGGTGGTGCGAGGGAAGTACTGGAATCACCGGAGAAAAGGGGCGGATAAGGGAGGGGAGGAGGGACAGCACGAGGAGAGGGGCGATTACAAGGGAGACAAACACGAAGAGGAGCAACAGGGTGGAGGGAAGAATGTGAGGAGAAAGGAGCGGACAAGCACCCGCACAATCCGTAGGACCCCCTGCATGGGCCTTCCCCAGAACACCAGCGTCACAACCCATCCCTTCCGTGTTTCCTCCTTCTCCCTCCTTCTAACTGCCCTCAACGTCATCCTCTTGGGTGTGCGCCTCCATCGTGGCGAAGGCGGGATGGTACCCCGTGCCAAGTCAGAAAACACCGCGCGCACCGCTGCGCCACTAGCGGGTCAACAGATCAACATCGACGAGGTCGCGGTCTTCACTGACGCCGACTTTCTCGATCAGCAGCCTCTGCAAGTCGGGGAGCAACGACAGACTCGGCAGGAGGACCCCCTTCTCGGAGGAGGTGCGCCTGGCAAAGGCGGTCTACGAGCTCAGCGCGCACCGGGTCAGCAAGCTGAACGTCTCGCGGGCCAAGTCTCACAACTAGCCGAGGTATTGCATCAACTGTAGGGGGCATCACATTTGAATGGGAGCCGCCTATTTGAAGGGGGTCCTGGAGTTACAGCACGCGCGCCCAGGACGAAGCCCTATGGGGAATCGTGACAAGGGCCGCTCATTTTGACGAAGGTGCTCCGACTCTTGAAGAAGGCGGACCGAGATCGACTCAAACCGACGGCAGCACGGGCGGAGGCGCAACTTCGAGCCGTCCTCGGTGACAATGCTGTTCCTCCTACGCCTTGTACTAAGACTCCGCCAAAGAAGACCGTCCAAGTTCTAGAATCGAACTGGGGAGCGGCGCCGCTGCGGGCAGGGTCGCCCCTGTCCGATCGGGCCCACTCCACAGCGCCAGCGATCATCTCCACTTCGCTCGCAGAGCATGCCCGAGCACGACAATGGCTCGCAACAAATGTGTGGAAAGGTTGCGGCCGTTGCGGCTTTCGATCTGTCCTTCTCGATCGATGGTGCTGTTGCCCAGGAAGTGATGGCGGCCGCGGACTCTGGCAACGCACTGCAGCGCGCGCAGGTACTCCACGCGGGCGGCGAAGCGCCCAAGCCTGTCGGTCATCCTGAGGGCGTCAAGGACGACGTGGAGCACATGCCCCCGACGAGCGACCCACAGGTCTTGAGACTGACCTGCGTAGAGAACTACTGATGCGATGGCCTGTGCGGACGAGCAGCGCAACGTCCAGCCTCTCCTCCCACCCTGGTCTTCAACGCCGACCTCGCCAAGGGGGCTGTCAGAACGAAGGCGGCTATAAACTACAAAACCGAGATAGCCATGCTGCTTATCATCCAAGACAGCACGGCACCCAAGTTCCTCGAGTTCGATCCATCGCAAGGAGCCGTGCTCAACCATCAGCGTTCCGCAGTGATGAAGAGCTGCTTCAGCATCCGAGCTGACGAGGCACGCATTGCATTTTTGGCGGGGGTGGCTGCGCTCTGCCCATAGGGAGGTCGGATTCTCTGTCGGCCACCCGACGGTGCCCCTCTGGGGCTACTCAGCACGACGCACATGGCCAGCGACCTCCTCCAAGTGGGCTGTCCAACGTGCGCCTCCTGAGTGGGCGGGCCCAGATGGTCTCTCGGAATGGGCCACCAAACGTCAATTGGCGAATGTGGACTCTACTGCGCGCGCTGGAAGGCGACCTTGGTCCTTTCGGGCGGACTTGGGGGCCGCTCAAATTCGGAGGAATTACGTCTACCCTTTCTCAAGTGGGGCCTTTGTTTCAGTCGCGAAGGCCCTGACTCCACGGACAGGCGCGGCAAGCAAGAAGACCCCCCAAAAGGCTGCCAGCGCGCGGGGCGCGGCAGCACGGCAGCGCCAAAGTGCATCCCCGACGACGACGACGACGACATGGAGGAGACCACGCTAGCTCCAGTTCCTCCTGCCGCGCCAAGGACGGCGCCGAGGGCGGCGCCACGGACCCGCCTCGTTCTCCTCCTGCGGGCGGAGAGCCACCGCGGAAGCGGGCCAAAAGGGTCGCGGCACCCCCGTGGGTCGCGTACTTTGACCAGACGGACCTGGGCGGCCCAGGTGATTGCTTCTATCTTTGCGCTGGCGTCGCCTGCAGTGAGCTCAAAGCAAGTGACAAGAAACGTCTTCGAGAAACTCTCAAACCTGGGGGTGAAGTTGCGAGGTGTGCGCGCCTTGCTATCGCTGCAGGTTGGCAAAGCCATGCATGAGCACGCGGCGACTCAGCAAGGCAATGCTCGGGCCGGGCAGCAGGGTACTCTTGCAGGTACTATGTGCGAGAGGGCGCTGGCGACATTCATGGTAGTGGACATCTGCATATGGCGCCGCGCGCAGATCGCGCATACGACTGGACGATGGACTGGTCATACTTCTCCTGT